TTAAAAATAGCAGGAGAAAGTGGGACGGTCGCCGAGGGGGCATGGGCGGGGGCGTGGCCCGAGGAGGGAGAACCAGGTGTCCGGGCACTCACATCCGTCTGGGGGCCCTTCCCAGCTCCTGGACACTCGAAGGTCACGAATTCGTGGCATCGTCGATGCACCACAAAGCTGCAGACTGAAGATGAAAATCGGACAGTCACAGATGGCTCCCCTGCAGACAGAGAGCTGCAAAGAAAAGCCCAGACAGACAGAAAACCAGAGAGAGAGAAGCGGTCTCCGCATGGACAGTCCAACGTGTGTGTGTGTGTGTGTGTGTGTGTGTGTCAGTATGAGGGTGTGAAAGCTGCAGAACCACACAGAGAGTGCAGACACGGACACCTGAGAGACCAATGGAAAGAAGAAATGCAGAGACACAGCAACCACAAAGTGACCAGGGACCCGGAGGCCCCAGACTCAGTCCCAAGTAGATGGACAGACAAACAGAGAGAATCAGTTGGGTCCCCTGGACAAAAACCTCAGGCCACAGAGAAAAGATAAGACAGAAGCAGGAGATGCTGACGGATTTCCAGGAAGCAGACCATCCTCAAGCATCTCGGAGGAAGGCAACTTGGGCAGGAGTGAGGCTGGGGGTGCTGCGGCCGCCTCCCACCCTGACTCACCCACTCCCCAGCAGTGGCAGCTGGTGTTGTGGGCCTCGCCCCCCCCTTCAGGGCCCCCACCCCGGCCTGCCCCTGCCTAGGACGATCGTGTTGTCATGGCGACGACGGCCTGGGGAGGGGGGTTCTGACTTGGCATCTCCAGCCCCTTCCCCCCCACACCCTTCAGCTCCCCTTTTTCCAAATCGCCCTGTTGCCATGGCAACAGATTCTCCAAATATCTGTCCCCACCTGGAGCCGGCCGAGGGCGGGGCCGGCGCCACCTCCGCGGTGGCCCTGCCACCAGCGTCCCCCCCCCCCGCGGCCACACCCCCCCGCCCCGGGCTCCCCCGCGCCTCTGGGGACCACGGAGCACGTGTGCCTGCAGCCTCCCTCCTGGGCCTTGGCCTCCGCCTGGGCGGGGCAGAGGTCCGGGGGTCCTGGAGGTCCGGCCCGGCTCTCACCTTGACACTGCAGGCCCTGCTTTCCAATGCCCCTGCAAGAGCGAAGAGGGGGGTCAGTGTGGACGGCACCCACCGTCAGGCCCTCCTCCATAACCCTGAAACTCCGGCTCCCAGCCCCTCCTCCCTCAGAACCCGGGCCAGACCCCAGCCTCTTCTCTCAGCCCCGGGGGTCCAGACCCCATTCTAAAGCCCGTAATAGGCTGGGGGTTGCAGCTCCACTTTGACTCATCCATGTGACATGAATCTGGGCCCCAGCCCCCCCCCCACACAGACCCCCGGCCTCCCCTCTAGTCCCCCCAAGATCCCCGACCTCCCTCCTGGTCCTCCCAGGTCCCCCCAGATCCCCAGCCTCGCTCCTGGGTCCCCCAGACACCCAGCCTCCCTCCTGGTCTCCCCAGACCCCCGCCTCCTTCCTGCTCCTCCTAGGTCCCCCCAGATCCCCAGCCTCCCTCCTGGTCCCCCCAGCCCCCCCCCAGATCCCCCGCTTCCCTCCTGGCCTCCCCAGACCTCTGCCTCCTGGTCCCCCCAGATCCCCGGCCTCCTTCCTGGCCCCCCCCAGACCTCTGGACTCCCTCCTGGTCCTCCGAGACCCCCAGCCTCCCTCTTGCCCCCCCCAGACCCTGCTCCTCTCTCCAGGTTCCCCCTGATCCGAGCCTCCCTCCTGGTCCCCCCAGACCCCCGGCCTCCCTCCTGGTCCTCCCAGACTCCCGGTCTCCAGCCCCTCACCAGATGAAGTCGGTGCAGTGGCTGCAGAAGGTGGGCTGCTTGAAGAAGCGGGCGGTGAACTTGTGGCTCTTGACCTCGTGCACCACCTTCTGCCTCAGGGCGCCCTTCCTGCAGAACAGGGGCCGGGGGCCGCCCTCCGAGTCGCCCCCGCCGGGGCCCAGACCGGCCATGGCCCCGACGCCGCAGCGGGGACCGGGCTGCGGGATCCCGGGGAAACAGGTGGATGGGGCGGCGGCGGCGGCGGGCGGGCGGCGAGGGCGCGGGCGGCGGACGAGGCTCCGCGGGCGCGGGCGGGAGGGCGGGCGGGCAGCGCCGCGCCCCGGGGGCTCCGCCGGGGCCACGGGGCGGCGCGGGCCGCGAGCAGCCGGAGGCTCGGGCGGCAGCGGGCGCTGCGGCTCCGGCACCGGCTGAAATGGGGGAGCCCCGGGTGGGGGGGAGGCGTTGCCATGACGACCGAGGGGCGGGACTTCGGCTTAAAGGCACCCCCCCCACCGGAGACTCGGGACGGGCGCCCTCCCCCCCCCCGCTCCGGGGGAGGGCGGCGAGGAGGGGACGCCCGCGGAGCCGGCCCCGCCCCCGGCCCCTTCGGCCACGTGGCCGCGCGGGTCCCCAACGGGATCTGAACCCGCGTCCGTCCGCTCAGGCCCCGCACCCAGGAGCGGAGCCTGCCCGATCCCCAGGCCGCGGGGCCTCCGTGTCCTCCGGGGTCGCGGGGAGGTCGTCCGCTTTCCCACACACACTTGTGCCCCGCCTCCATGCTCTGGAACGTCTTTGAGGATTTCTGCCTCAGTTTCCCTCGCTGTGCCTCCTGCCCCTCGGGGTCAGGGTGTCACTGCCTTCGGGGGTCTCCTCCGGGGCCCCCCCGTCCCCCATCCCCGTCTCTGTGAACGCTGTTCTTTCCGCTTTTCGTTCTCCGCTACTCTTCCTGGGCTTTTCCTGCTCATGTGCTCCCCGCGCCATCTGCCCAGCCCGAGCCCGCGGCCTGCCATCCTGCGCGCGGCCACCAGGGGGTGCGCGCCCGCCCTCCCGCCTCCCCCCCATGTGTCTCTCCCAGGCTCTCTCTGTCTGTCCTGTCTCTCTCGCTTCTGTCTCTGTGTCTCTGACTGTGTGTGTGTGTCTCTCTCTCTGTTTCTCACACTCTCAGCATTAGCTCTGCCCCTCCGGCTCTTTCCTCTCTCTCTCTCCCCTCTCAAGTCTCTCTGTGTCTGTCCTTTCTCTGTCGCTTTCTGGCTTTCTCTGTGTCTGTGTGTCTGTCTCAGCATTGACCTCTGCCCCCCTTCCGTGTGTCTGTCCGTCTGAACATTGGCCTCTGCCCCCCTCCTTGTCTGTCTCAGCATTGGCCTCAGCCCCTCTCCCCCTCCCCCACCCTGTCTGTCTGTCTGTCCGTCGGAGCATTGGCCTCAGCCCTTCCCGGTCTCTCTCTGACTTGTCCCTGGTCTGTCTCCGTCCCTTTCTTCTGCGCCCTACTCTATTTATTCCTCCCTCTCTCCACGCCTCCCAGAGTCTGTCTGTCCATACGTCCGTCTGTCTGGAGTGCGGCTTCCCATCTGGGCTTGCCCGGAATCACTGGGACACGCGACCCCCACGGCTCCCCGCAGCTCCCCTCAGCTTGGCCGGCTTTCGCCAGTCGCGCTCCCCTCTCTTCCTCTAGGGGAAGTGGGGGGGGGGGGGGTTGTAGCCAGGGGCAACTACGTCCCAACCCGGACCTCAGGGTGCAGTGCATTCCGGGATTTGTAGTCTTGGTCCCCTCGTCAGCCCACCCTTGGGGTCGGACCAAGAACTTCCTCTCCCGGCGTGCCCCGCGCAGTGGGCGGGGCGCAGTGGCGGCGCGGGGCGAGGGTGCAGGGGCTTTGGATTGGGGTTCCGGAAGCCTAGCGAGGGAGGGAGTCCGCCCCTAGACACCCCACCCATCCAAGCATGGGGCGCTGGGGGCCCTGAAAAGTAGTGGGGACCTGGGAACTCCACTTGGCGCTTCCCCGGGGCCGGGGCTGCTAGCCCCGAGGCGCCCCGCAGGTACCCAGCCCGGCCCACCGGATCGACGACTGAGGGGAGCGGGTAAAGCCAGCCCCCCTGGGGCTAGGATGAGATGGGGAGCCGGGGAAGAAGACTGGATTTTGGAGAAAAGAGGCTGTTTCAGATGAAGGCCAAGATTGTCCACCCCCCCCTCCCGCCCTTCCCAGCAGATTGAGGAATCTGAGTCTCACCTTCCACTTGTAAAGAAAGCACAAGTCTTCCTTTTACCTTTATATTGAGATTTACAAAAAGAACATTATTCGATGTGGGGAGGGAGCCAGGCTTCTAAAAATGAAAGCTATACCAGGGGTTAAAAAAATAATATATATACATTTTATAGGTGTCATGTTATGGCATATGAGTTCCAGAGCAGCAGGAAGCAGCAGCAAGAAGCAACTAGTACACACAGACACACGCGGGTGTGTGATACACTCAAGCTGTGACGGCAACGATCTGTGTCCCCACCCCCCACCCCAAAAAGAAAAGAAAAATTAAAAAGGAATTTCCTTCTTGAAAACTAGGGCTAGTCAGTAATTTCTGTCCTCACGACCAGGAGAAGAGAAGATCCTGATTCTTTCTTTTGGTCAGTCATGGGGCTTGAACTTGGACCCTGGGCACTGTCCCTCAGCTCTTCAGCTCAAGGCGAGCGCTCTACCACAGCACCACTTCTGGTTTTCTTGTGGCTCATTGGAGATAAGAGTCTCATGGACATTCTTGTCCAGGCTGGTTTTGAACCGTGATTCTCAGATCTCAGCCTCCTGATTAGCTAGGATGACAGTTACCAGCCACCGGCGCCCCACCACGGCTGTGTTATTTCTAATACTGAGGCTGGAGAGGGCTTCCTGACCCTCACCAATACAGGACTATTTGGTTCTTTGCCAGGCTCCGTTTTATCTCCTTGATGATACTGGGGTTTGAACTGAGGTAGGTGTTCTACCATTGAGCCACACCTCCAGCCAGGCTTTTTTAAAATAGCACAGAGAAGAGTTGGGATGACAGGTACCCATATAGGATGGCCTCCAGGCAGTGGGTTTTTATAGTAAGCCTGACAAAAATTCTGGTGCCAATTTCAGGCAAAGCTGAGGGCCAGGCCTGGTCTAAGGACTCAAGGTCTGTGCCTAAAGCCTCCAGACCTCTGAGAATTATTGACAGAGTTTTTTTAAACTTAAAGGGGAGATGCACTGTAAACCCTCCTCCAGTGGGAGAAAAGGCACCCACCCCTTGCTGCCCACCCCACCCACCCCTACCCCACACGCTCACAGATACACACAAACTAAGGCACAGCTAGGGCAGGCAGGCATGCTTTGGCAATGAGGGAGCCCCTAGGGAGGCTCATGGCATGAAGAGCTTCGAAAGCTTGTGGGGTGTGTAAGCCAGCACCTTTGAGGTGGGGTGGGAGAGGGCAGAGCAGGAAGTCCCACGGCTCCCAAGGAAGAGGCAGATGAGAAAACAGGAAGGAGGAAGGAGGAGGAGGAGGGGAAGGAGAAAGATGAAGAGGAGGAGGAGGAAGAAGAAAGGTATGCAAAACAAGATGTGACTAAACACAGAGCAGAGAAAAAAGGAGAGGAAAAGAAAAAAGACCCCAGGAAGAAAATTCAGAGGATGAAGGAAAAGAAGGGGAAATAAAGACTCAGCGATCAGTACCAACAAAACCAAACCAAAAAACAGAGGGGAGCAAAGAACAGAGAGGAGGGGCAGAGCCGTGGGACGCCCTCTGACTGCAGCTCACTTGATGACCAGCACACGGGTGGAGTGCACCAGGTCGGTTAGGTACGCAAGCAGGTTGACTCCTGTTAAGAGAGCCACGGCCAGCCGGCGATCCCAGTTGCACACGGAGTGCGGGTGGCGGTAGGCACAGTACGAGTCCTTCAGCCGCCGGCTCTGGCCGCCGTAATTCTCATTAAACTGGTAGAGGGGCCAGATGATCATGGCGGTGGCGTACATGAGGAAGGACAGGACGGCCACGACTGTCAGGAAGGTGGGGAAGGCAATGGGCAGCACGTTGGTGCAGTCCCCCAGGTTCAGCAGGATGGTGACCGCTGCCAGGATGAAGCAGATGGCATATACCGCCACGCACCACTCCAGGGCCTCGTGACGCTGGTACAGGCCGGCGTTGCTGAGGAAAGCGAAGATGATACAGGCTACGAACGTCTCCAGCACCTTGAGGAGCCCGGGTATAGTGGCCATGTAGCCTGTGGACTTCCCTCGGGTCCAGGACACTTCAGTGGCATAAGCCAGGAAGGCGATGCAGGAGAAGGTGCAGGCGGCGATGGCGTGGTTGCGGGTGCTGCCCTCGGACATGAACTGCACGTAGGTGGTGGGGTAGATGATGGAGGACGACAGGCAGAAGAGGGCAGCGTATAAGGCGTAGGTGATGGGGAAATTCTGCCACGACAGTGGGAACCGGGCCTGGCAGCCGCACACCTCCACGCAGAGGATGATGAACGTCACGACGAAGCAGAAGCACCAGGTGAACATGGACCAGTTGCCCATGGGCCCCATCCAGGCACCCACGTGGGCCACGCATGAGAACGCCACGCAGGTGGACAGCAGCTGGAGCAAGCGAAGGAGGCCCAGAGGCTGGGTCAGCGTTTGAGTAGACACTGTCACCGCCATAGCTGCTGGAAAAGAAAACACACACAGCGTCGTCAGCCTGGCACCGGTAGCTCACGCCTGTCATCCTACCTACTCAGAAGGCTGAGATCTGAGGATCGCGGTTCAAGGCCAGCTAGGGCAGGAAAGTCCCTGAGATGCTTATCTGCAATAAACCACCAGAAAACTGGAAGTGGCGCGATGGCTCAAATGGTAGAGCACTGGCCTTGAGCTGAAGAGCTGAGGGCCAGCACCCAGGCCTCCAAGTTCAAGCCCCATGACCGACTAAAAAAAAAAAAAAAAGGCACAGTGACACTAGCACCCTGGGCAGTACAGGAAACCATGACCCCAGTCTTTGCCTTTCGAAGTACTCATTACTTGGGGCTCAAGATGTGAGATTTCCAGGAATAGGTTGGGTCTCCCAGATTCTGGGCTCATTCCATGTGGAAGTTTCCAGCCTCCTCCCCTCCTTCCAGCCACACCCACCAAGCAAGACCAGAGCCTGTCAACCACACCGACCATTTCCTCTCCCCACCCACTTTGAGCCCTCTGACCAAACTTCCTCCTTTGGCCCAAAGTGACCTATATATGTCCAGCTTCCACACATCCCAGACTCTAACTTCCTTGTGCTATACTGTTACATCTGCTCAGAGCTGTGGATCTCCCATCTGGAACTTTCCGGAAAACCAAATGTTCTTTCTTCACTACCTTCTGGAAAGTGGTCCAAATACTCACCACCGTGCTTTTTCTCCCACTCCTAGCTCAAGGCCGGGAATCTGCTTCCAGCCAAGATTTGGGTCTAAAAACGGCCCACCCCCTCCCAGAATAGTGTACACACACACACACACACACACACACACACACACACACACACACACACACACACACGGTTTTCCCCAAATTCTGGGCAACTCAGCTCCTCAAGTTGCTCCTATCGAGCGCCCTAGCCCCCGTCACTGAACTCTCTAGGCACACAAGGTCAAAAAACCCAGGGAGAGCTAGGAATTCCAATTCCTTAAGAAAAACTCTAGCTGGGAGAGGGACGGGGCCACCCCCAGGCACCTTGCCCCCAGGGCCAAGGCCTGAGGATGCTGATTTCCTAATCTTTGTTTTAATTTGCTATAAATTGTAGCTGCCTGAGGGCAGATAGACTGGAAATAACCCTTTTCCCCAGTTCAGGCCCACATCATCAATAAATTCATGTCGCCATTTCCACAGCCTGACCTCGTGGACAGCCATCAGGAGGCTCCCTCAGACTCCAGGGAAACCAACCTCTCTTCTTCCCATGTCCAAATGCCACAGCTTTGGCCACATTGGGCTACGGGCCTCAAGAATGATGCCCAGATATCAGGTCCTCCTTTAGCCAGAATCTCTAATCTCCAGTGGACACACCTCAAAATACCAGGGAGTAGTTCTTTGCCAGGGAAACAACTTCCTCCTTCCCCAGGCCGGCACAGGGGCATACTGTCAGGCCCAAGCCAGGGTTGGACCCCTTCCTGCACCACAAGACCCAGACCACCTCCCAAGGACGCAGTGGCCAGCTCCTAAATGCTTCCTCCAACGGCTGGTGCAGGACAGGACCTCCACGAGGAGTTCCCCATTCCTCTCCTCTAGGTCACTGAGTCCAGGCCCCAGCCTCCTCCCTAACACCCAGGGGTCCGGTCCCGGCTACCTCCCTCAGAGCCCAACCCCACACTCACCGAGGAAGGAGGACGATCCGGCTGGAGGAGGATGCGGTCACACACTGGACACACCTGGCCCAAGCCCCTGGGGGGAGGAGAGGTGGTCAGCGTCCAGCTCCCAACTATCTTTTCCTTTGGAACCCTGGCGGCCTGCGGACTCACGAGGGGCTCCGCAGACCAGCGAACCTCCGGGCTGGACCAGGACTGGACGCCGAGACCCGGAGGGATCGGGCGGTGATCCCCAGACAGCACCGCCCCTCTCCTCCCCTCCGACCAGATTGCGGGGCCGGCGAAGCAGAGGACAGGCCACGCCCACCGGGCCGGGGGCGGGCGGAGATTGCCACGCCCACAAGGCAGTGATTAGACAATACCCACCGGGGAAACTAGCCACGCCCAGATTTGGGACTTGTCACAGATCCCGCCCATTAGCGAGAGGAGCTAACGCAATCAGGCCCCGCCCCGCTGGGGAAGCCACGGGGCGGCAGCCTGGAGGCCCAGGGCCGGGGCTGCGGGGCGGCGTCCGGCCTGCCTGGCATCGCCGCGCCTTATAAGGGCTTGGAGTCGGCGCAGCCGTCGTGTCCGCTAGGGGAGGCGGTGCGGTGGCCCCCCAGCCGTGGCCCACCCCGGAGACCGCCGGGACTCTGCCCAAGGACCGAGTAGAGGTGGGGTGGGAGGGAGGACGGGCGTCCCCTCCCCACCTCCTTCGGGGGGGGGGGGGCGGGAACCTGGAAGCTCTGGGTCCTGAGGGACTGGGTTAGGGGCGTGGTTCAAGCGGTGGAGTGCTAGCCCGCCTGCTGCGGGCGCGCAAACTCTGTTCCCAGTACGGAGAGGGGGAAAATGACGGCGGGCGTCCCAATATTGACTTAGTAAGCGCCGTCGGCTCCCGCCTGTCACCCCAGCTGTTCGGGAGGCTGAGATCTGAGGCTCGAGATGCGAAGCCAGGGTGGGCAGGAAAGTGAGACTCTTATCTCCAACGAACCGCGCGCGCACGCGCACAGCCGAACGCGAGGTTCAGTACCCAGGCCCTGAGCTGAAGCCTCAGTACATTATAAATAATACATAAATGTATTGATCATTGATTGACTGGAAGACCCGCGATCCCGGACGGCCTGCAGAGCCTCTCAGGGCGGACCTGGGGAGGATCTCCCCTCACCCCCAGGCCTGAAACCGGGTTCTGAGCCCACAGAGAGCGGCCACGCCTCCCTAAGCCGGCTCTCCGGGACTCCAGGCCGTCACCAGGGACCCGTTAGCGGACAGCCGCCCTGGGCCTCACCCCTGGCGCCCCGGAAAGCGGCTCAGGCAAAAAGGGAGAGGGAGGGAGAGGGCCAATCGAGGAGGGGCCGCGGAGGACGGGGAGACCCCCTGGATGGGGGGAACTGAGCATCCCCCCCACACACACACCCGGAACAGCTTCCAGCCGAGACCTGAGATCACAGCTCAGGAATGCACAGCCGCAGACCAGCTCTGAGGACCATCCCCGGCCACGCCACGCCCGGCGCACTCCGCGCCCGGCCACGCCCCTTGCCCCGCCTCTCCCGGCGCGCCGTGCTCCGGGCCACGCCCGAACCCATCCCTCCCTCCAGACTCCAGGGCGGCCCCCAGCCTCACACCCTGCTGCGGCCCACACCCGGAGCTGGACTGGGCCTCGTCACACATGGGGTTCCTGTTGAGTCTTCCCCCAGCTACAGTCAGCGGTCCGCAGCCTGGGCTCCACCCTCCTAACACCTCGTGCGCCAGATCACAGCCCCTTAGCCTGGACCTAGGCGTCCCCACCTCTCCAGACCCAGCCTCCCCCCTCAGACCCAGGGGTCCAGGCCCCAGCCTCCTCCCTCAGACCCCAGGGGTCCACACTCGGGTCCCAGTCTCCCAGAAGACCTGTGTGAGTTCAGCTCAGCATCTCCTAGAAGCTCGTCCAATGCCAGTGTTTCGACTGGAGGAGCCCAGAGGTTCTGACCTCACGCATTTCTCCCCGGAGACCAGGATCCTGCTTGCTCCTGTCGCGGTCTGGGATTCCCGCAGCCTCACCTCTCCAGCCAGCAGCGGAGGCGTCTGGACCAAGGGCGACAGCTGCAGACCAGAAGGGTCTGTGGGCTGGGTGGGGTTAGCGGACCCGAGAGAGCGCGCGGGCGGGACTGGGGCGGGGCCTCTGGCAGGGCGGGGCCTCTAGCAGGGCGGGGCCACGGATGGAGGCGGGGCCTGCGTCCCGCTGAACGCTGAGACTGGAAAGGGACTTCCCCAAGTCCTGCTGTCCCCGCCCACCCGTGTGTCCGTGGCGCAAGCCACGCCCACCTGAGAATCCTAGCACCACTCAGCTCCCTCCCGGTGATGGGGAGGAAGGCTGAGGTCACTGTTGCCTTGGTGACAAAACAGGAAGACACAACAGCTGGCGGGGTGGGGGCCGGGGGCTCCCGGGCCCGGCCGTTGCCGTGGAAACCCGCTTGCTGCCGGTGTGTTTACGCACGGGAGACCCCGAAGCCCGTGTCCCCACGCCCAGTTTCTCTCCCTGCCCCGCCGCCTCCCCGGTCGGCTCGGATGGCGCGCTCCGGAACTGGGTCCTGGACCCTCCGCGGGCGGAGCGGGGGTCTGCTCCCGGGTCTTGGGGTCCCCCGCGGGTGGGACGGGGGTCTGCTCCCGGATCCCGGGGTCCCCCGCGGGCGGAGCCGATGTCTGCTCCAGAGTCCCGGGCGCGCACACTTAGCTCCTTAGGTCCCCCAAAAAACACCCATGAAGAGGGCCCGGGTCGGGTTCTCGACACTGGTTCCGGGGTCCAGGTCAGGGCGCGGCGCTGGCACAGAGCCAGGTCCCGGCGGCGGCCGGGTGCGCACGGGTATTTTTGGCCTGCGACCCTGGCTGCCCTCCAGCTGGGACCGAGCTGGGGCAGGGCGGGGGGCGGGGGCCGGGGCGGGGCGGAGGCCGGGGCGGGGGACCGGGACCGGGGGACGGGGAGGATAGGGGCGGGGGTGGGGGGGGATGGGAGAATGGGGGACGGGGATGGGAGATGGAGGACGGGGGATCGTGGATGGGGGATGAGGGATGGAGGACGGGGGACCTGGGATGGAGGACGGGGGACCGGGGATGGGGGATGAGGGGATGGAGGACAGAGGAGGGGGAGGGAAGGGGGAGGGGCAGACGAAGCGAGGCCGCAGGTCATCCTCGGTGGTAACGATTTTGCAGGCCCCGCCTGAGCCCTGGAGGCAGAGGAGGTGGCGGCGGGGCCGCTGGGGATCACTCACCGCGCTCCGTGGACGTCCGGGGCGCGGCCCTGGTCGGCAGCCGCGGGCGGGGCCTGGCTGCCGGGGCCTGGTGGCGGCTGCGGCCGCGACCGGGCTGCGGCGCGTGTGCGGAGCCGCGGGGTGGCGGGTCGGTGCGGCGCGGGTGCACCTGGGATGAGAGGTGGCGCGGGGCTGCGCGGGGCGGGTGCGGGGTGGCGGGTCGGTGCGGCGCGGGTGCGGGAGAGCGCGGGGCGGCTGCGGGGCGGTGCGGCTGGGAGGAGGGGTGGCGCGGGGCTGCGTGGGGCGGGTGCGGGGCACCTGCGGAAGGGGAGCAGACCCCTCCTTTGTCACCGGTGCCCGCGGAGGGGAGGGTCCGTTAAAGGGCCCAGAGCCGCGCTTCTAATATAAATATATAAATATGTACCACGGAGCAGGGGTGAAGGGGTGGGCGTCTAGGTGAGGTCGCAGGGGTGAAAGGGTGAGGGCGTCTAGGTGAGGTCGCAGGGGTGAAGCGGTCTGTGTGTTTAGGTGAGGTGGCAGGGGTGAAGGGGTGGGGCGTCTAGGTGAGGTCGCAGCCTCCTCCCAAGGTCACTTCTGGCCGTGGTCTGGATCAGTCACCTGGGTGGGCTTACCACACTGTGGGGCTCCTAGAACACCCATAGCGCTTCTGGGGCACCCCTCCTCCACAGCTTCCGGGCCTGCCCTGGGGAGGAAGTGCCATCCAGCCCCACATCCCTCGCTGTCCCTGTCCCCCCCCCCACTTCATTTCTTCTCTCATTTCTTCATTAAGTGCTGGGAATGGAGCCTCGGCCTCTCAGCCCGCCCTGGGGTGCACAGAACTGCACCAGCAGATCAACAGTCAGTCACAGGGCACTCTGTGTGTGTGTGTGTGAGAGAGAGAGAGAGAGAGAGAGAGAGCAGAAGAGAGCACACACTGGTCCTGGGGCAGGGCCTCACACTTGCCCTTGGCTATTTTTTTTGGTGCCAGTCCTGGGGGTTGAACTCAGTGTCTGGATGCTAGCACTCTACCACTTAAGCCACAGCTCCACTTTCAGCTTTTCGGTGGCTCATTGGAGATGCATCTCAGACTTTCCTGCCAGGGCTGGCTTTAAACTGTGATCCTCAGATCCCAGCCTCCTAAGTAGCTAGGATCACAGCTGTGAGCCACTGGCGCCCGGCCTCCCTTAGCTTTTTCACTCAAGGCTGGAACTCTACCACTTCAGCCACAGACCTCCAGTTTCAATTTATGGCTGGTAAATGGGAGGTAAGAGTCCCATGCTTTGAACAGCGATCCTCAGAACTCTGCCTCCTGGGTAGCTGGGATTACAGGCCTGTGCTACCACAGGCACCCCATTGCTGGGTGTGACCTTGGGAAATGGCACCGGGAAGCCAAGGCCTGTGTGAACAGGCATCCTGTATGTACTGCAAGATGGAGCATTTGCCCATCCTGAACCATGGCATCCATGTTGACGGCTCACCGTGGCATGGTCACCCAGTTTCCAGCAGGCTAGGCCACTGTTGGTGGAGCCAGGGACCCCGCCCTCTCTGTGCAAATCTGGCCTGGCATCCTGACACTCCGAGGCCTGGGTCAGCAGCACTCTGGCGTGGCCTTCGGAGGTGGTGAATAGACCCATTCACTGCCCAAACACTGGCCGCCTTCTGCAGAAGGCCAAAGGGTGAAGAAAGCAAACAAACAGCCCTGGATTATTCATTCCAGGGAAGAAAACCTCCCCGCCCAACCCGGGATGGAAAGGGTCCAAAGTAATTGGAAACTGACCCCTCCCTGGGGGCCCAGCAGTCCTCCCAGCTGGCCGGCAGGGTGACATGGCCTAACTGGCCGGAACTCAGGATAGGATGGCTGGCTGCGACCGCCATTACCCATGAAGCCCTGGAGCAAGCCTGGAAGGAGAGCCATGGAGTCACCGTCCGCTCCCACCCCAACAGATCATCAAAAGCCGGTGCTGGTGGCACAGGTGATGGATAGCTGGATCTAACTCAGCCTGTTCTAGGAACTTTGTTTTGTTTGTTTTTTATTTTATTTTTTGCCAGTCCTGGGGCTTGAATTCAGGGGCTCTGGTGCAGTTCCTGAGCATCTTTTGCTCAGGCTAGCACTCTACCACTTGAGCCACAGCACCTCTTCCAGCTTTTTCTGTGTCTATGGTCCTGAGGAATGGAACCCAGGGCTTCATGCATGCTAGGCAAGCACTCTGCCACTGAGCCACCTTCCCAGCCCTAGAAATTATTTTTGTAGGTCTTGGGGTAAGGCCCAAGTGGTAAAGCACCTGCCTAGGAAGTGAGCACAAGGCCTCCAAGCACTTCAGAATAAATAAAAATTTCCATTTTCTTTTATTGGTGGTGGTGGTGGTAGTGATGGTGGTGGTGATGGTGGTGGTGGTACTTGAACCAGGGCCTGGACACTGTGCCTAAGCTTTTTTGCTCAAAGCTAGTGCTCTTTCACTTTGAGCCACAGCACCACTTCCAACTTTATGGTGGTTCCTTGGCGATAAGAGTCTCATGGACTTTCCTGCCTGGGCTGGCTTTGAACCAAGATCCTCAGATCTCAGCCTCCTGAGTTGCTAGGATGCCAGGCATGAGCCGCCAGTGGCAGGATTTTTTGTTATGCTGGATCAAAGAATTGACCTGAGAGATAAATAGGACATTGGGGAAACAGCAGTTGCTACAAAAAGGAGAGTACACTGTGGGCCCCTCATTGGTTCAGGGATGTTCCTCTTTTATTCTCTGAAGCAGGTGTTTTTAGGACATCCCCTGTTGGGAGGGATTAAGCAAAAACAAAAGGGGTTGGAGATGTGGTTCAAGTGGTAGAGTACCAGTCTTGACCCAAAAAAACCAAGTGGGAGCTCAGCTCAAGGCCCTGAATTGAAGCCCTGCTACCAGCACAGAAAAGAAAAGAAAAAAAAAAAAGAGCTGGCCACCGGTGGCTCACACCTGTCATCCCAGCTACTCAGGAGGCTGAGAGCTGAGGATTGTGGTTCGAAGCCAGCCCAGGAAGGAAAGTCTATGAGATAAACCACCAGGAAATCGGAAGTGAAGCTGTAGCTTAAAGTGGTAGAGCGCTAGCCTTGAACTGAAGAGCTGAGGGACAGCGCCCAGTCCCTGAGTTCAAGTCCCATGATAAAAAACAAGGAAACAAACAATGAAGCATTGACTTGGGGACTTTCCCATTGACAGTTTTCAGAGTGGAGTTAACCACTGGTAACTGCCTGCTGGGGCTGAAGGCGGACGTTAGTGGCTTCGCTCCTTGTCATAAGACGCCTTGCCTGACAAGATATAAATAGTTTTGCTAAAATACATGCTTGTAGTTAGGCATTTCGCCTTGGTAATATATTAGGGTGGAGACATGAGGTATCTCATCTATTCTCATTTCCCAGCAATCAATCTGTCCCTCCCGTTCTGCCTGTACTGGCTTATTTTACATCTTTCCAGAAATATCCAGAGTATAATATCTATTCTGTTATCTTTCCAGAAACATTCACCCACGTGTATATAAGTTATGTATACACTTGCATTAGTTAGAATGCATGGATATAAGATATTGATATGATTGTGTATGTGTATGTGTGTGATTGTGTATGTATGTGTATGTGGGGTTTGGACTCAGAGTCTCATGGTTGTGAGACCAGCATTCTACCACTTTCACCCCTTTTTCTTTTGATTGTGTGTGTGTGTGTGTGTGTGTGTGTGTGTGATGCACTAATACTAAGTCTGGGCTGGCTTCGAACCATGATCCTAGGACCTCAGCCTACTGAGTAGCTTGGATGACAGGCATGAGCCACCAGCGTTGGCTTCTTTTGCAGTTTTTCCCTATAGGTAAAGGTTTCCTGGCTGTGTTTGAAGTGCACACTGCAGCCTTCTTGGAAGAGCGATGTCAGC